TGCTGTCTCAGCATATGTACTAGCATACACACGCATTAAAAGCATACGGTAGTCATCCGAAGTGCTAACACAAGCAGTCCGACATTAGAAATGCAGTTCATCATGGATGGTAGCAGAAGTCGCCAACAGATCAGCAGTTGCACACGCGATCAATTTTAATCACATAGTGGCATCACCAATTTTGCGACAACACGCATCTCGCCATTTTCTGAATCTACAGTTCACGCCACTATGTTGGTCACAGTAGAAAAGTATTTCAAATGAAATCAGCAGCTCACAGTGTCACGCCGTGTACTCAACTCAGAAGCTGAGCGAGGAAACTATCCTTTCAGTCTACAAATTGAGCGAAAATGCACCGGCCACCGTCTGGCAGAAGCAAAAGATTTTGCCACGGCTCACAACAGTAACCGTGCCTAGGGTCAATTTTGACAAGAAGTATTGTGGGTTTATTAACGGTCACCCCAGTGGTGCCCTCGTGCTGGGGAAGGGGCCAGGGGCGTAACACCCATCAGCAAGCTGTCGCCCCTCTACGACCTGACTGCCTTCGATAACGATTGTACACCCCACAACCATGCAGTTCTTTGGCACGAAGGAGACACCTTAAACTTGGGTTCTGGACTACTGACTCTCCACATGCTCACACGCATGTGTTAATGGTGTACAAAAGCTATCATGTTTCTCGCAAATACTATTAGCCTTATGTTCCAGCATACATTTATAAATAAAATACTATTGTCATGCATATATGCATACATACATTTAAACATACTAGTAATAGTTGTGACAACAATTAATAATAATTAATAGTTCGCATGCACTCACACATCAAAGTAGAGAAGGAAAGAGAGGTACATATACACATAAAAAAGAAAAAAAGAAAGAAAAATAGATGTCCCTTTTTATGGTCTTTGCTGAAGTTCATACCTTTAATTGGATCACTTGTTTGATTGACAGCTTTGATCTGCATTTTTAGGTGGGGTTGGGGGAAAGGGGGGGAGGGGGCGATTAATGGATGGGACGGAGATGCTGAGAAAATAGGTGGGATGGGAGCGGGAAACGATTTTAGTCTTTTTTTTTTTTTTTTTTTTACTGTGCTGATGCACACACAACCCACCCACACCCAAACCCACCCACACACACCCACCCAAACACACCCACCCACACACACAGAGTTAATATAGTTATACAGTGAGCGCTAAGCACCAGCTCCAGCTCACGTTGCACGCAGTCAGTCACACATTAGAGTGGTCGCGTGTGACAAGAAGGACATGGTTCCCACTGTTGTACATATGATCGTGGCTGGCTTCTGTTTATACCTACTCGTTGATTGCGTTGGTTGTAAACGTGTCAGGATTACATATGGAAGTAGGTTTTGTATTTTCTTCTTTGTTATTTATTACCTTTTCATGCAGGTGTGTGTGTGTGTGTGTGTGTGTGTGTGTGTGTGTGTGTGTGTGTAATAAAGTGTGTATGTGTGTGGCTTTGGCGTTGTGAACGCGCTTAGTAATTACGAAATATCTGGCTCGACTCAAATGCAGGCGGTTTGGCAGCAGACCGCTTGCCGTTGATTTCGACGTTGGTCTAAAGCATCGGTTCTCACCCTATAGGTTGCGACCCTTTTGTGGGTCGAACGAGCCTTTCATACAGGGGTCGCCAAAGACCATCGAAAACACATATTCACTGAAGTAATGAAGTAGCAACCAAAATAATTGTATGGCTGGAGATCGCAACAACACGTGGAGCTGTACTAAAGGGTCACCGCATTAGAAATTTTGATAACTACTGGACTAAAGCGTCCACGATTAAATAAGCCAGGGGAAACTACTCAAAGAAAATTGCTTTGCATATAACTGTATTAGTTCCAGGGGCCTCATATAGGGGAGAGAAAAAAAAAAGGGGTGGGGGGGGGGGTGGGGAATAGATCCACTGCCTCGTGACAAGCATGTCGTAAAATGCGACTAATTAGGAAGTGGGTCTTCGAAGTCAGAGTGCATCTTTTGGAGATGCGCGAGGAACAAACACTGTGCATACAAATAAGCTAGGTCTGTAAAACGAATGTGAATGAAAATCTCAAGTTCTACAATAAGCCTAAAATCCAGAAGTGGACTCTGCCCCCCCCCCTTTTCCCCCTTACAATGGGGCCCTGGAACACACACGAGGTAAATTTATATATATATTAAAAAAATTAAAGGATAATTTCCAACATGGAGGGGAGGGGGAGGCGCCTACAACTCTTACATAATTTTATTTTGATGAGTTAGGGTGGGGGAGGGGACCTTAAGGTGCCTAATTCCCCCCTCCCCACCTCCCCCAAGTTCCTGTGCTTCTGGTAAAGATGTGTTGAACAAGCTATATGGTTGAAATTTAGATACAACTGGCAACACTAACAGCAACAGAGAAATTAAGATGCAGGGAAATAAAGCCACTGATGGTCTGACTACAGTGCAGTGGCGGGGAAAGAACACAGACATGATCACTGATTACAGCGATAGCGTGAGATGACCAACCCTGGCCGCCTATCGGCATGACACAGGCGATGGTTTTATATAGAAAGACTAAACACTATTGCTTTTAAACCTACTGTTGTCACCGTGTGGGTTGCAGGGCCCATTCTGGGACAAAATAAAAAGACCAAATTCTCCCACCCTAATAAGCATAAGTTAAAAGGTGACTTCTTCGGGGTTTTTGACACAAGATATGACAAGCTAACAGGAGCAGATATCGCAGCATTGCTGTGCAGCACAACAAAGCGCACAAACAGATCTTTAAAAGCATTATTATCATGCTAATAATAATAATACAAAAAAAAAAAAAAAAAAAAAAAAAAAAAAGAACGAGAAAAGAAGAAGAAGAAGAAGAAGAAGAAGAAGAAGAAGAAGAAGAAGAAGAAGAAGAAGAATTAAAAGAATAAGAAGAAGAAGAAGAAGAAGAAGAAGAAGAAGAAGAAGAAGAAGAAGAAGAAGAAGAAGAAGAAGAAGAAGAAGAAGAAGAAGAAGAAGAAGAAGAAGAAGAAAGAAAAAACAAGAAGAAAAGAAGAAGAAGAAGAAGAAGAAGAAGAAGAAGAAGAAGAAGAAGAAGAAGAAGAAGAAGAAGAAGAAGAAGAAGAAGAAGAAGAAGAAGAAGAAGAAGACGTTAATGATGATGATAAAAGTTGAGCAGAAGAAGAAAACACTAACTATTCAACCTCACTTAATCTTGCATTCATCATTCTCCCTTTCAGTCGATACCGAAGAAGCTTCACATTTCGATTTTTGACGCTGAAAACTTGTACATTTGTCTTAAAGGGTGAAGTGTAAAACAAAATTGATTACACTGTTAGCGTAGATAGAGAAGTGATATGTTGAGCTGTTATAAAATTGATTATAAATTTAGTGCAGCTAGAGAGTTGATATGTTCTCTCACACTTCACTTTGCTGTCTGCATAATAAAGTTATGTACTATGATGGGTTGACAATTGGGGGACACGTCGGAGGCATTAAAGCATCCAAAAAAGTTAATTTTGCGGATTATTTTTAAATAGACAACAGCATCGTAGTTTTCTTTCTCGTCTCATCTAGTAGTAGTGGTAGAAGCGTGGTGGTGATGGATTAGGTTGTAGTCGTGGTGGTGGTGGTTGCGTGGTGGTGGTGGCTGCGTGGTGTGGGTAGTGGTCGTAGTAGTAGTGGTGATGGTTGTGTGATAGTAGTAGTAGTCGTGGTGGTTGTGGTGGTGGTAGTAGAAGTAGTATTAGTATTAGTAGTATTAGTATTAGTAGTTTAGCATTAGTAGTATTAGTATTAGTAGTATTAGTATTAGTAGTATTAGTATTAGTAGTTTAGCATTAGTAGTAGTATTAGCAGCAGCAGCAACTACAGTAGTAGTAGTAGTAATAGTATTAGTAGTAATAGTAGTAGTAATAGTAGTAGTAGTAGTAGTAGTAGTAGTAGTAGTAGTAGTAGTAGTAGTAGTAGTTGTTGTTGTAGTAGTAGTAGTAGTAGTAGTAGTAGTAGTAGTAGTAGTAGTAGTAGTAGTAGTTGTAGTAGTAGTAGTAGTAGTAGTAGTAGTAGTAGTAGTAGTAGTAGTAGTAGTAGTAGTAGTTGTAGTAGTAGTAGTAGTAGTAGTAGTTGTAGTAGTTGTAGTAGTAGTAGGCGTAGTAGTAGTAGTAGTTGTTGTTGTTGTAGTAGTTGTAGTAGTAGTAGTAGTAGTTGTAGTAGTAGTAGTAGTAGTAGTAGTAGTAGTAGTAGTAGTAGTAGTAGTAGTAGTTTTTGTAGTAGTAGTAGTAGTAGTAGTAGTAGTAGTAGTAGTAGTAGTAGTAGTAGTAGTAGTAGTAGTAGTAGTAGTAGTAGTAGTAGTAGTAGTAGTAGTAGTAGTAGTAGTAGTAGAATTAATAGTTCTAGTAGTTTTATGAGAAATAATAATGGTTGCAATAGTAGGAGCAGCAGTAGTAATAATAGTAGTAGAGTAGTAGTATTAAATTAACGAAACAAACACATTTGGATGTGTAGACTTTTGAATGTTGAATTAAAATATGACACCATAGCACTCGGGACACTCCAATAAGCGCCCCGTTCCCATCTTCAGCAGCAAGCGAAGACTTCCAATTCCTATGGCAACAGTAACTCTCTGATTATACATCCTTCTCGCCGTTCCCTTGTTGAGCGTTGGTCAGATCCCTGGTAGCCGCCCGCAGCTTGGATGAATAATGTTAATGAATAAAATCCGTAGAAAATATTATTGGAATTATTTGCTTGCTGCTGAAGATGGAGACGGAGCTCTTACGGGAGTGCCCCGAGTGCTAAGATGTCGATTCTTAATTCAACATTATCTTCTTCTTCTAAACTCATGTTTTTTACACTATCTTTACAAACTATTGAACTATTCCCACGAATTCTGTTATTATGAAATTATTATTACGATCTCTGTCATTGCAGAACTATTTTCACGATCTCTATAACTATGAAACAATTTTTACAAACTCTATAATTATGGAACTATTTTTAAGCGCCTTTATTTCCTTCCAGGTAGCGGTGATGTGTGTGAAGGCGGTACCCGGAAGTGCGTCAAAAGAAGAGCGACGTGTATCAACGACACCTGCGTGTGTGATGCCAGAGGCGATGGCAATGGCAACTTTGCCTGCTTTACTACTGGTGAGTTTAATCCGGTGTACAGATTAAGAAGTGAGAAAAAGAAACAAAGGAAAACAGTGTTACATGTGGGTAGACTGCACAAAATTGGATTGAATAATACCTGTATTTTCTTTCAATGGGAGGCTCGATCAATTCGTAAATGTAAGCGTTAGCGGGTAACGATCACATTAAAGAGGGCATCACGTAATAGCATGCGCGCAGCTAGCATCGTAGCACGTGTAAGTGGTAGCTTCTACAGGCTCTGGCTCTCTAGCGAAGTTGGTTAAACCTGACTTTCGCGGCGGCCGGGTGACGAAGTGGTCCGGGTCACATCAGGCAGAAAAAGCCACATTTCTCCCATATTAACAGTACATAATGGAATCAATGCAGCTAGCATCGTAGTACCGAGCGGGTTAAACCTCAGGGTAGCTGGAAACGTTAACAAAAAACAAAAAAACAGGCTAGAGTCTCTGCATGAGGACGTGAACGGAGTGGCGTATTTGAAATAAATAATAAACAGGAATAATAATAGTAGTAAAAAACGCTTTATTCTTTGGTAATAAACGATAATTACAGTCGTTACGTGCACACCCGCCACTGGTATTTTCGCAATGTGAAAGAATCGTTACAGCCGACGTCATCACTGCCATACTACTACCTCCGCCATTAAAGCTGCCAACACAACTGCCACAACCAGTGTCTTACACTGCTACAACTACTATACCGCCACCACTACTACCACCGTCATTACAACTACTATGACCGATACTACCAATATAACCGCCACCACCGCTGCCAGCACTACTATCGCCACATTAACTCCCACTACCACCGCTACTACCAACATCAAACCCTACCACCGTTGCAGCCACAACTACAACCACCATTAACCCCACAAGCATCACATAATCAGCACCACTTGTATCACCGTATACGACAGATTTGATTCAAGTCACTTCAATACATAGAAAAAAAAATCTTTCCTTAATTAACTCTGTCTGTCTGTCTGTCTGTCTCTCTCTCTCTCTCTCTTTCTGTTTCTAATTTTTCTTTAAACCAAGGACAGGCCAACCATCTTCCAGTCAACTGTTTCTTTCTCGATTTCAGGAACTGTCTAACCATTATCTAAATATCATCATCACCACCACAACCATCCTCATCATAATCATCATCATCTTCTTCTTGTTCTTCTTCTTCTCCTTCTCATTCTTCTTCTTCTCCTTTTTCTTCTTCTTCTTCTTCTCCTTTTTCTTCTTCTTCTTCTTCTTTTTTTTCTTCTTCTTCTTCTTCTTCTTCTTCTTCTTCTTCTTCTTCTTCATCATCATCATAACATCCTCTTTTAATGATTTGGGTGTCAATGAAGATATAAGGTTCCTCTTCTTGCTCTTCTGGCCGCCTTGACCACAGACACACCACGCTCTTGTATCTGAAGTCATCGTTCCATCTTGTTCTTTGTCTACCTTGTGCTCTACCTATCTAACCATCTGACTCTGTTATATTGACGGCATGAGACAAACGTTTATAGGACGGTGCAGGACGGGGTGGGTGGGTCGTGATTCTTGGGATTTAAAACAGCATGGCTAGTGTAGCAGCCACAAACTGTGCAAGTTATGACTTTAACTTTTTTTTTGTCCCAAGGAAACAATCCCCCATCTCTTACTGAAAATCGAGCCGGGGTCTTCCTTCGAAGTCGGAGTACATCTGCCGGTGAGGTAGGCAACGGACAATAAATAAGCAAGTAAAACGGGTGTACACGCAAAAGTTAGGTCGAGGTAAAAGTCATAATAGACGAACTACCGGGACCTTCCGCCAGAATTCACAGCCGGTAAACAAAGAAGAAGAACCGGGCTCTCGACACGAGATACTACCACTGTAACCACTAGTCCAACTGACCTTCGTCACGGTCTCTATCGTTCTTTCTTCCAGGAACCTATCACGCCGAGATCCTCAACGACCCCAGATTAAGAACGTTCGCCCGAGATAGTGTTCCAGTTCCGGTCACGTGTAGATATCTGTTCTCTCACTTCCGGACTCAGTTCTCGGACTATCCCAACAGCACCTGCGAGATTATGGTAAAGTACCACCATTATAATAGTAATATGGCTGTAATAATAATAATATCAATAATAATAATAACAACAACACAATAGTGATAGGAGGAAGAAAAATGAGGTGATAGAGGAGAAGAGAAAGGAGAAGATGAAAGAGGTGGATGAGGAAGACGAGGAGAAGGAGGAGGGAAAAAGAAGTAGAAAAAGAAGCCCCCATAAGGCCATAACTATTTATAGTTCTGTCTGTCTCTCTCTCTCTCTCTCTCCGTCTCTCTCTCTGTCTCTCTCTCTCTGTGTCTCTCTCTGTGTCTCTCTCTTTCTCTGTCTCTCTCTCTGTCTCTCTCTGTCTCTCTCTCTCTGTCTCTCTCTCTCTGTCTCTCTCTGTCTCTCTCTGTGTCTCTCTCTCTGTCTCCATCTCTCTCTCTCCCTCTCTCTCTCCCCCTCTCTCTCTTCCCCTATCTCTCTCACACACTCTCTCTCTCCCTCTCTCTCTCTTCCCCCTATCTCTAGCACACACTCTCTCCCTCCCTCTTTCTCTCTCTCCCCAGATTCACGCCTACAACAGCAAGCATGCTGGGAAGATCTTTGTACACGGCTACGATTTGGCGTTGAGGATATCTCCCATCCTGCCCTTGGGATTCTCGTCTCGACAATATGGCACCGGATTCCAAGGGACTTACACGGTAATAGCAGTTGTAGAAGCAGCAGCAGCAGTAGCAGTAGTTGTTGTTGTTGTAATAGTAATAGTAGTAGAAGTAGTATTCGCAGTAGCAGTGGCATTATTAGTTGTAGTCATAGTGGTGGCTGGCACTCTGGGGAGTGTTGTTGCTGTATTCTGTTTAGGTGTCCACTGAGTGGAGCATGTTGTGTTCTGAGCCTGAAGATGGTGGCCTGGTCCCTTTTTGTTAAATGGTTAATGCTGTCGTTAGGATCAGGGCTGGCCATGTGTCTTTAAACCTCTCTTCGAGTATCTCCCATAGCCCATCTGTTCAGCCAAGTCTCTTTGTTTATAGCTTTTATAATTGTGTTTTTGCTGTCTGCAGGTTTGTCGCTGTAGGTGGTTGTTCTTGTGTTGCTCCTTTCTTTGCAAGTCTGTCAGCTCTGTCATTACCTGGTGTCCGGAGTGGCCTGGAATCCACTGCATCATTATTCTGATGTTGTATGAGACAATGAGCTGATCAGCATCCATAATTATTTTGGCTATTTCAGTTCTGCAGCGTTCACTGTCCTCTAGAGCTTGAAGATCAGACACTGAATCGGCGAAGATTACAATATTTTGGGCCTTTGAAGGGTAAACATCCATTACAGTCTTTAGGTGGTAAACTGCTGTTTCCAGTGCAATTATTTCGGCTTCATAATTTGAGCAGAATTCCTCGCATGCATCAAAAATCTCTTCAACAGATTCACCAGAATAACCTATGTAGATTCCGTAACCGGCTTTAATTGTAGCTTTGAATGCAGATCCATCAGTATAGACATGTATTCATTCTTCGGGTTAAGAATCGATGGTCTTTAGCGATGAGTTCATAAGGACGATTGGGTCGGGCTTTTTTTTTTCTCTATGTTTACCAATTTCATTCGGACTTCTGAAACTTTAAAGCGAGCATGTAGTGGTAGGTTTCTTGCAACATTTTTAATGTCTAGACGTCTTTCTGGGAGGTGGTATCTGTCCTGTATTTCATAAATACAGTGTAAAACCGACTAGTGCTTGATTCTTCGTTTGTATGCCAGTTTTCTACAAGATGTCAATTAAGATGGTTACGATTCATTTCCGTCTAGTTGTTTCCAGAGCATCTGCTTCCAAGGCATTGCTGTAGTCGAGGCCTTCCTTCAGCCTTAAACCTGTGGAATGCCTAGCCTCTAACATGAACGCATCTTTCATAAATTTATAAAGTGGCTTTTTCTCTCCGTAACCCGAGTTAATTAAGTAGAGGTCCATTATCCACACCTTTGGGCGTATTGGCAATATAGGGTATATAGGGCTAGACCTATATTTTATAAACCAATCAGCACTTGGTGGGTGATGTGGTCAGCCGGCTGCCTTTACTTCCCAAGATGGCAACTGGTACCCACTCAAAGCTGGGCCGACCCAGGTTTTAATGTCATTTTTTGATTTTAACAAATTCGGCTCCATCACGTAGGCGCGAACCAACGACCCCGATCAGCAGGCGGGCGTCTAGCCGCCAACGCCACTGCGACTTCCTCCTCAACCCGAGGGGTTTCATATTTGTATAGATTTCACAAGCAGCAGATGAAGTTGACCGCATAGCTCCGATGATTAATTGGAGGGCATTATTTCGTACTCTATCAAGCGTCGAACATATCCTAGATATAAGCCCCTCAGAGTTTCCTTGTCTGATCCCCATGCTGTACCTGCAAGTCTCTTCAATAACTGCAACCGCCTCAATGCCTTATTTCTTATGTTTTCAATATGGTTCAATGGTTCCTGAGGCTGAACTGCCGGTCAAGTGTGACTCCAAGGTATCTAGGATGCTCTTCTATCATCACTTGGTGTCTGTATAACCTCAGGTTAATATTCTTCCATACTACTTGATGACTTTTTGTAAAGAATGTGTAGACCGTCTTTGTATAGTTAACCTTGAGTTTACATCTTTGGCAGAACTCAGTAGTTGTAGTGGTAGTAGCAGTGGTGTTGGTGATTGTGGTAGTCGGGTTTCTGATGACTGAGGTGTTAGCACTTGTGGTGGCAGTGATGGCGATTACATAAAAGGGAGAAGGATGATGATGATGAGGGGGAGGAGAAGAACTGTTGATGATTATGGAGAATAAAAAAAAAACCTGTACGTAATAAACTTGATATTACAGTTCAGAGAAAGCGAGAGTGTCCAGTTCAGCCCTGATGGACCATGGGACATGTTTGAGCCACCCGTGACCCTCTATTTACCGGATTCGGTGGTGAGGACACGGCACGACCCCTACAATAACTTCGGCTACGTTGAGGTAAAACGATGGCGCTTTCTTTGTAGGAACATAGAAACGGCAATGATTCTTTACAGAAGTGTAAATTCTTCTGAGAATTTTCAAAACTTCTGTATGTCTTTTATATTCCTTCATTCATTCATTCATTCATTCATTCATTCATTCATTCATTCATTCATTCATTCATTCATTCATTCATTCATTCATTCATTCATTCATTCATTCATTCATTCATTCATTCATTCATTATTTATTTATTTATTCGTTTATTTTATTCAATAATTCACTATTTCATTCATTCATTCATTGTCCTGCTGAACCATTATATGTCATATTGTGCTAGCAGTCTATTTCTCCTTTCAGCGCTGATAGAAGAACCGACATCACAGCACTCAGAGCATTCCCATAAGCGCTCCGCCCCAATCTTCAGCAGCCAAAGCAGACTTCGAATACCAATAGTACCAGTAGCAATCTGATTATATATTGTCTTGCCTTTCCTCTGAGCGTTGAGTATCGGCCAGATTTGCTCGTCACTCCCTACTACACCCATCTCACCAGACTGTGATAATCAAATTTCTGTTCCTAATTCCGCTCTATCCTGTGCAATTACTTCGATATCATGGACAGAATCCAGTCTAACATCTTTGGCTTGTCTCGTTAACGTTCCCCTTAAAGCTTGTTTCTGAATTCCCGTTTAGCCAGTCCATATATTTCCAATTTCACTGCCCGTCATATTGAACGGAAGTGCGCAATAACGGACGATGCTAATTATAAACTGTTCATTTAAGGACTTCGTTATTTACATTTGCGTTAAAGTCTTTTTTTTTTTCTCTATTGGTTTATCGTTTTATGTTTTATTGTGTTTAGTTTGTATTCCAGTGTTTAGAGTTTACATTACGTGACTGTTAAATGTGCTTGCTTAGACTTTAGCATGGGCATTAGGAGCGCTAGGTTACCAAGTTCAGCACCGCCATATTCCCTATCTTTTCCAAAACGACGCCATAGCCTAACATCCACAACCTCATCCACCACACAGCTACAAGGTAACCAAAACAGCGCTAAAGCAGTCTTTCAAGTGGAAGTGGAGAAGGCAAAATTGAGATTACAGACCAGAGAGTGACAGCATAAACAAACTCAACAGGAAAGAACAAACATCAATTTTTAGACTTCGGACTGGACACTGTGGTCTTCGAGCACACCTGTACAGGATAGGCATAAAAGAATCTGCTGCCTGTGACTGTGGAGCAGAAAGACAGACCCCTGAGCAGATACTACAGTACTGCCCTTACCTCTCCCAGCAAAGACTGTGGATATGGCCAGGGGATCCATATTGCGAGAGAAGCTATGGGAGACCGGTGGCGAATTTAAACGCACAATCCTATTTGTGACAGACGGGGCTCAGTGTTTAGCATGATTGATGTCGAACGCAGAAGAAGAAGAAGAAGGAGAAATTTGATACAGTTTAATTTAGCTGTCATATTCGTAGTATATTTAAATTGTGTTCGAAGAGGACAAGAAGCCTCGGGTAATTTATATTATACTTTTATACTTCTCATATCATTGTTATTTTCATCTCAAACAAGCTATTAAAAGCTGCACACTAACCAGGGCAGGCAGCAGAGAAGCAGTTATACGTAGAGGCTGTAAAGGACACGTGGGAAGAGACGAACAACAGGATGAGACCAGCGCAAACCACTTGAGGGAGCCCAATCGATGAGAAGCATCTGAACCAAGGACAACTGAAGAGGATAAACGAAACGGAACGATCACTCACATAGATGCTAGCAAGCGACTCTTATAGTCCTGACACTGGATAAGTTAGATGAGTTGATTGAGACTGGGCTCGGGAAGAGAGCAGTACTCAGCTGCACCACGATTAGAGAGGATACCTATTGGCTACATTAAAACACCTAAACAAGTGACCAAGACAATACCAGACATTAAAGGAAAAGTGAACAAGGATCTACCACACGACATTCATATTTCCATAAAAATTAACAGGACAACAGTGACAGCAGTCATCAAATAGAGACACTGACGATCAGGAAAGGATAACATCAAGGAGAATTTGAAGAGAAAGAACCCAGACGTCTAATTTATGCAAGTTGACACACAAACCATATTTAGCTGTAACCCCATCTTATTGATTATGGCTACATGTGGAGCGAAGACACCTCTGGAGCACATTCTGCTACAGGGTAAGAGGACATTCTTTGAACAGTATATTCCTTCTACACTGCAGTGCGATAAATGTTCAAGTTTAGTTCATAACAGACAGCAATGTAGGGCTAAGGAGCCCACATGTCGATTCTGCGAGGACAGGCACTGGATTAAGGAGAGCTGGAAGGCTAGGTTTGATAGGCTGTACAATAGGCTGTACAATAGGCTGTACAATAGGCAGAATCCAGTAAGACATTGTGCCGACTGTCAAAGAAATCCCAGTGTCTAAAAACAGGTATGTCCGGAGAGGAAGAGGACACTCATCATTTGTAAGGTAACTCAAACTCCTGTCACATCTGTCACTATGGTAAGATGGAGACTATACCAGAGAAACAAGGGACTGTACAAACCGCTGGATACTGAAAATATGCATGCAGGCAGAGAGAAACATCAACAGAACACAAGGATCACGGAAAGTAGAGCAGGCACAGCCAGTCAGACTACTGGAAATGATAACACTATCTGTTGCTCCTATTGTCCTATCTACTTCGTCTCTCTCTAAACCCTGCCCTAACAGGTTCCACGATCTCCAGCAACACCGTTCCCCCCCTCCCATTCCCTGCACCGTCCTACCCTCCACTCCACCTCTTCTTGCCCTACCCCAACCCCCTGCACATAATAATTTTTCTTTACGATTGTAATAAATTCGTATAGACATAATCAACACAGTGCGATGGATTTTCTCGTTAAAAAGCAAGTCTTCGAAATGAGGCCCATAATAGCCTCGCGCTGTCAGATCAAAAGTTAAAATTGCTTATACTTTCCGTACGGTGCCGCACGATGCGCCCGTATCTCTGTATTATAGCACGGCACGACCTGGTCATAACAATTGTTATTTATAGAAGTATCAATTATTAGTTATATAAATGTCAGGTTGCTATTACAGAAACAAGACTGCTAGCACGTTATTTGTATGTCTGCTTGTGTACCCAGGTTGAGAGTTGCGGTTTCAGTGTTCGCTTCCGCCCCTTCGACACAGTTTATGGCAAAGATCAGACACAAGTACCGGGCCTGGCCCTGTCTGTTAACCCTATGCATAGTGAGCATTCATCACCCTCGTCGTCGTTCTCATCATCGTCATAGTCATCACTGGTATCGTTATCACAATCATCGTTCGTATCGTAGTCATCCTCATCGTCATCTTCATCAGCATCATCAGTATCATTATTGTCATCACCATTATCGTCATCGTTATTATTGTCATCATCGGCATCATCATGATAATTATCATCGTCATTATCATCTTCATCATGATTAGAATCATCACCATCGTCATCATTATTAACATCGTCATTATCAATACCATCGTCTTCATCCTTATCATCATTGTCGTCAGCATATTCATCATCGTCATCGTCATTATCGCCGTTATCATCATCACTTTCATAATATCATCATCCTTATCATCATCGTTATCATCATCATTATCATCGTCATCACCATCATCGCTGTCACCATTATCGCGTCTTGGTGACTACGACGTGGTTGTCACTATCATAACTGTGAGCACCACAATCAATTATCAGCACCACAATCAATTGTCAGCATCACAATCAATTGTCAGCACCACATTCAACTGTCAGCATCACAAGCAAGTGTCAGCACCACAAGCAATTGTCAGCACCACAATCAATTGTCAGCACCACAATCAAATGTCAGCACCACAATCAAATGTCATCACCACGATCAATTGTCAGCATTACAACCAATTGTCAGCACCACAACCAATTGTCAGCACCACAACCAATTGTCAGCACCACAATCAAATGTCAGCACCACAATCAAATATCAGCATCACAATCAAATGTCAGCACCACGATCAATTGTCAGCATTACAACCAATTGTCAGCACCACAACCAATTGTCAGCACCACAACCAATTGTCAGCACCACAATCAAATGTCAGCACCACAATCAAATATCAGCATCACAATCAAATGTCAGCACCACGATCAATTGTCAGCATTACAACCAATTGTCAGCACCACAACCAATTGTCAGCAACACAATCAATTGTCAGCACCACAATCAAATGTCAGCACCGCAATCGATTGTCAGCACCACATGAATGAATGAAGTTCAACCCCACCAGGTCATCCACTAAGCGATAAACACCCGGTAGCACAAAGTGCCATCATTCGGATGGGGATCATCCGGGGAGAGGTCCCAGAAACCCGGTTCAACCGTTAGGTCATACTGCGGCCCCCGGCAACAGCTGAGGTAGAAATTTTTATAGACCAATCCACACAAGATGGGTGATGCGGTCAGCATCACGCCAGTCGCCTTTACTTCCTGGGACTGCACCCGGTACCCACTCAAGGCAGGGTCGACCTGGCAGCCAAGGTAATTTTTGAAAAATGTCCGGCTTAGCCAGGGAGCGAACCCACGACCATCCGATCCGCGGCGAGCGTCTTGTCGCTCCGCCAAGGCCACTACCAGCTGAGGGAGGGCTTTAAAATAACGAAAAACTGAGTTCAGTACTGGGACGGTTGGGTGCAGTAACAGCACCACAATCAACACTCCCATTATAATGATAATCGCTATCATATTAATGTTGATACAATCACTAGCATTATAATGCTAACAGTAATTATCGTCATCATTGTCACTGTGACTCCCCGTATGAGTATTGGGGCAGGGGTACAGGAGCAGGCTCACTACTGCATCTCCTAACAAGCTAGCCATAAAAGACGGATAATTCATGGTTTGTTTGGAGAAGGAGCAGATATCACAGTCTAGCTTTAAACCACATCACAATGTGAAAAATACGACTACAGATAAATTGTCGGGCTATCCTTCGAATAACGGTCACATATTAGGGGGGCCGCAAAAACACCCTAACAGGGCCTCAGTCACAAGTCAATTGCACACTTCCGGCGACTACCGCCACCGCCGAAAGTATCCCCCACGCCGCTTACGAGGCGTTGATTGGGGCTAAACAAGATGTCTAGGACTCACGAGCAGCAGCTTCCGCATCTCCTTCAGCTTTGCTCGTGAGTTCTAGCCATCTAGTTTAGTCCCAATCCATGCCGCGTGATACTCTCGGTGGTGGCAGTAGTTGCTGATAGTTTGCAAAGTAAGTCGCCGGAAATTCGCAATTTACATATGACTGAGGCTATACATAATATGTGCCCGCTATTCGGAGGATAGCCAATTGTCGTAATTATTATTTAATAAAGCGACGTAACTCTTGCAGACCCAGAATGGTTGTCTCTGGACCGAGTTATGGCGCTTGTACCGGCGGGAGAGCCAAGTCTGCAAGCGCTCTCGGTCGAAGCTGGATTGGAACCCCAACATGCCATGCTGCTACGTCTGGCTCAATCAGGAGTAGCACAGAATCAGTAAGTTTTGGTTTCTCATCTGCCACACTACCAGGCTACGGCACCACACCCAACGCTAAACAATTTATTTAGAATTAACCATAATCTTCAATGTTTCAGCTTCACTACAATCGGGTTTCCCCATAATTGCTCCGTTCCTGTGCCAGTAAAAATCAAATGAAATGGCCCTCTTTGTCAGATTTGAAAAAAAACTGACGAAACAATCATGTAGTCCCATCACAGTCCAGAAATATGTGCACGTAGTAAATGCATATGGCAGTTGCTAGAAGCGCCAAAGCCAACAGTCGCCACCAGAAATGCATTTAGTCATTGATGGAAGCAGTGGGGCACGATAAGTTGGCTATTAGGTTAGTTGCTTTATACAGGACGTTGCAGAACCAGCCCCAACAGCCCCTGGCTGTTGTGTGGTTTCTCTAGGCAAATTTACATCCAATAGTTTGCCATTGCTTACTGGACGGTCGGCCCCCTGATACCACTGTCAAATCAACGCAAGGCGCATGGCCCGCAGCTGGGATCGAACCTGGCACCCCGGCATTACGAAGCGTTCGCATCGACTTAGCCACAGAGCCGACTAAGTTGGCTATACTATAATTATTACATAAGGTATTTCGCCAGCCCACACCCTAAAACTGCTACCGGCCATATTGAATACCACGTCTCAACAGCTAGCACTGCCATGCATATGTAGATGTGTTCTGTTTAAGAATTTGTGAAGTATTTTGTGTTTATGTATTTCATTTTAATTCAAATATATTACAATTTTTACTCGGTACTCAGCACACCAGGCACTGCCATACACGTATCACAGGGTCACCCATTGGCTCACCGGTAGACGACATCGTCGTCAGTCGAAACAGTGTCTGGGTCCGTCGCCTTTGATCGCATCGACACTGCAGGAGTCCTTTCAGGGCTACATGGTGGCGTGCAATGCTGAGCCATTTTATATGGCCCACAAAACCTAGTCACAATTATAACCTACACCTCCCCCTTTAGCGTTGAACGTAACGATCCCCACCCCCCCCCCCTATTCCCAGCAAAGCACATACCTACACCATAGACAATTTGCAAAAAGGCTCCTACCACCAGACCAGGACAGGCACTGGTATACTATGCTTGAACGAATACGTTTGATTCTTGCCTTTTTTTTGGGGGGGAGGGGGTGCATTGTAGCCTATCCCTTCTAGAATTGCAGTCGTTAGAGCTAATACCCAAAAGGATGGCACCCCCCACCCCCCCCCCCACCCTACCCCGAAATGTTGCGTGCAAATCCGTTTCACCGTTCACAGGGGCGTAGAAATAAAGGAAGACCATAAACACACGGAGAAGGGAGCTAGAAAGTGAAATTAAAAACATAGGGAGGGCATGGGGACGGCTGCATGTGATAGCGTAGGATAGAACGATTTGGCGTGAATTGGTTGAGGGCCTATGCTCTGTTGGGGGTTAGAAAGGCAGAAAAAGAGAGAAGAAAAAGCGAAGCAGTTTTTTTGTTTTTTTTAAAGAAATCTATAAATCCCCATCTTTACAGATGCCTCTGCGTTGAGAGGGAAGAGAAGTGCCTGGGGTTTTGTAGCGCAAGCCAACGGAAAATCATTAGTGCAGAAAATGACAGCAGCTTTCCGGTGGCTAGAGAACAAGATGCATACACATGTCGTGGTTGTAACAGACTCTGGAGGCATACTGAGAACGGTGAAGACAGGGATGCTTCGAGCAGAGTGGCATGCTTCATTGGCAAGTTCACGGGTAGTGAGCATACTTTGGATCTTTTTTCCACGCTATGCCGGCGTGGTGGGGAAGGAACAGGTGGACAGATTGGCTGGATCTGCACCACTGGGTGGTAAATTGATACATGACAAGGCAGATGTGGTCAAGGCCCTTTGGGAACAAGTTACGAAGTCAGAAATGAAACGAGATTATTATGGACTTGAGATAATGATGGACCTGGGTGTCACTAGAGGGTCTGGCCGGTTCACTACACTCAGAAGAAAGGCAAGACCGAGAAATAACTAGATTGCGACCGGTACCATTAGTACTGGAAGTCTGCGCTAGCTGCTGAGGATGGGGAGGGAGCGCGTATGGGAATGAGTGCTGTGATGTCAATTCTTGACTCAACTCAATTATAAGTCCCCGTGTGGGTTTCAGAACCCCAACATGAGGAAAACAAGAACAGACCCACTGTCGTTGGAGTCGACTCACTGGGGGATTCCTTCGAAGTCGGAGAACATCTGCCTGTATAGCCAAGGAACCAAAAGTCTGCATACAAATAAGCTAGGTGAAATGAATGTGAATGTAACACTCACGTTCCGGAATATGACCACCGTCCGTAGGTGGGTGAACACCCAGCACTTTCTGACAGAGTTTACAGCTAGTGAATGCGAAAAAGAAAAGTTATCCGAATGTTTTCATTGTGTCAGCGTCTGACGTATTTTTTCACCCCACAGACCCAACGCTTCCTTGGAGTGCACAGTCTGGGCTGACGCGGTGACGTCATGTAGAGACAGGCCACGAAGAAAACTGGCGTTCGAAACGTGCACGTTTGCTGTGAAGATAGCCAGGGTGATCAAATGTGCTGGCTCTTTAGATAGTGGAGACGCCATGATGAGTCTATTTGCACGGTCTGTTGGACATTTTGTTTTTTATCAACGTTCATTCACGTTTTAGTATTCCAGTTTTTCGATTATAATGTGACGATTGCTGCTGTTATACTTCCACTGCTGCTGCTGCTGCTGCTGCTGCTGCTGCTACTGCTACTGCTACTGCTACTGCTACTGCTACTGCTACTGCTACTGCTACTGCTACTGCTACTGCTACTGCTACTGCTACTGCTACTGCTACTGCTACTGCTACTGCTACTGCTACTGCTACTGCTACTACTACTACTACTACTACTACTACTACTACTACTACTACTACTACTACTACTACTACTACTACTACTACTACTACTGCTGCTGCTGCTGCCGCAACATATACTACTACTGCTGCTGAGGCTGCGTCTGCCTTTACTTCTTCTTCTTCTTCTTCTTCTTCTTCTTCTTCTACTATTACAACAACAACAACAACAACAACTACTACTACTACTACTACTACTACTACTACTACTACTACTACTACTACTACTACTACTACTACTACTACTACTACTACTACTACTACTACTACTTCTACTACTACTACTACTACTACTACTACTACTACTACTACTACTACTACTACTTACAACAACAACTACTATAACTACTACGACTACTACAACAACAACATATACTATACTGCAACTACCACCACCATTACCACAACAACTGCTACTAATACTACCACCAGTGCCACCTCACCACAACTACCAAAACGACTACTGGCGATAATGCCTCGGGTACTATTACTGATACTACTATTATTACTACTATTACTACTACTACTACTACTACTACTACTACTACTACTACTACTACTACTACTACTACTACTACTACTACTACTACTACTACTACTACTACTACTACTGCTACTACTTCTACTACTATTATTATTACTACTATTATTACTACTACTACTACTACTACTACTACTACTACTACTACTACTACTACTACTACTAATACTACTACTACTACTACTACTACTACTACTACTACTATTAATATTATTACTACTACTACTACTACTACTACTACTACTACTACTACTACTACTACTACTACTACTACTACTACTACTACTACTATTATTATTATTATTACTACTACTATTGCTACTACTACTACTACTACTACTACTACTACTACTACTACTACTACTACTACTACTACTACTACTACTACTACTACTACTACTACTACTAATACTACTAGGCCGACGACGACAAAGGGAAGTCAAGTGAGTCAGAAATAGGTGGAAAAAAAAAAAAAACTTAAGACGATAACTTGAAAACCGTTTACACTGTCCCTTTATTTTTCAACATAATTTCCACCACCATTGATGCACTTGTCCTAACATTTTATCAGTCCTCCCAAACCGGGTGCATAGAACTGCGTGCTCTGTTTTGTATACCACATTTTCACTTTACATTAACTTCTGCGTCATTCGCGAAATGTCTCCCGCCAAGGTGGGTTTTCAGTGGACCAAAAAGGTGGAAATCGCCAGGGGCTAAGTCGGGGCTGTAATGTGGATGTTCTAGACGTTCTCATACTAGATAGTTCATTTTCTCTCAAGTTAACCGAGCCGTATGTGGCTGAAGGACAAGTACTTCTCTAGTCAGCAGGTCTGGACGTTTTCTTCCGAATTGCAATCAGGAGCCATCGACAGAACTTTACAGTATGAACCAACATTCACATTATCAACTCTTTTTCTTGAGCACTTCTTGACAATCCTAGAACACTGTCATCATAAACTTCAATGCTGATTGCGTATCCTCGAATTCTTGAAAGCAAGACGAAAAGAGATGTTTTTATTGCATTGAATATTACAACAACAAGAACAAAAAAAAAAAAAAAAAACAAAAAAAAAAAAAAAAAAAAAACAGAAAGGGAACCATTGAGGCCGTTAAATGTTTATAATAATGAAGTAACAGACAATGTACTGATTGGCACCCATAGAAAGAAGAAGAAAGATAGAAGAACACACTTGACAACATAAAAATCGAAAGCTATAGTTACCGTGCCAGGAATCGAACCTGTCACCTCCAGACGGTCTGGGCGCCTCGTTATAAAAACAATTGTGCTAAGGACATGGTCAACTAGGCACCCCAGAAAAAGAATGTCTTATTGACCATGCCTATCGTACAGCCTGAAATCTACAGCTATGGAATACGGACAGAATTCATTTCAAAGCATTGAAGCAGGCTTTGATACGGGCTGGAAGTGAAGCACCCATGATTCATCTCCAGTAGTAACCCTATTCATTATGTCTTCTCCTTTATCCTTATAAATTTCTTTTGCAGGCAGCCATTACCCCCCTCCTCCCCCCCCCCCCCCCCCAAAAAAAAAAACCGCACTAAGGCACGTTGTTCTTTGAGGGTACTCTCCGTATGTACAGTCGCCATTTTGTTTTTTTTTGTGTTGCGAATGTACATGCAATACCCATCGCCACCTGAGGAACAGAGACATACAATTCCATGTTGCTGCCACCTAATGACACCTTAAATACCCACCAACTACATTTTCTAGCACATCATAACCATTTATGTCTTACTTATTGACTTCCCCTTGTACTACTACTACTACTACTACTACTACTACTACTACTACTACTACTACTACTACTACTACTACTACTACTACTACTACTACTACTACTACTACTACTACTACTACTACTACTACTACTGCTGCTGCTGCTGCTGCTACTGCTGCGGCTACTACCACATTGATAATAATAATCTGCTATTCTTCTTCTTCCTTTTTTCTTCTTCTTTTTCTTCTTCTTATTATCATCATCATTATTACTAGGTATTATTCTTGATATTGACAGTTTAACCCCAACCCCCCCCCCCCACCCACCCACCTTTTCTCCGTCTAGTTGTTTCCAGAGCATCTGCTTCCAGGACAGATCCAGCTGCAGACAGATCCAGCGAGAGCTGTCCTCGTGCCCAAACATCCAAGGCATTGCTGAAGTCGAGGCCTTCCTTCAGCCTTCAACCTGTGGAATGCCTAGCCTCTAACACACACACACACTCAACAGAGGTGCAGCATAATTGTGTTCCCAAATATCATATATTCTGCATGTAAACAAAATAATCTCTTGTGCAAGTGATTAAAAAAAAAAGCCTGCAATAATAAAGTGCAGTATATTAACAAATAAAATTTAGTTTATTTCAGTCTTGTTGCCGGTAAGTAAGGAGATGAGCACTAATACGCTAATGGTGCATCGAGTTTATAGTGCTAGGGGATAAACTGGTTCGGGTCTATGCTCCAGAAGTAGTAGAAGTAGCAGCAGAAGTAGCAGTAGTAGAAGCAGCAGCAACAGCAGTAGTAGTAGCAACAGTATTAGCAGAATCAGTAGTAGTAGTAGCAGGAGCAGCTGCAGCAGTAAACGAAGTAGTAGCAGCAGTAAGTGTTGTAACAGTAGTACCGGAGAAGGAAGAAAAAAAGTAGAAGTAATAGTAGTAGTATTAGTAGTGGTGGTGGTGGTGATAGTGGTGGTGGTGGTAGTAGTAATAGTCGTGGTAGTGGTAACAGTAGTGGTAGTAGTAGTAGTAGTAGTGGGAGTAGTAGTAGTAGTAGTAGTAGTAGTAGTAGTAGTAGTAGTAGTAGTAGTAGTAGTAGTAGTAGTAGTAGTAGTAGTAGTAGTAGTAGTAGTAGTAGTAGTAGTAGTAGTAGTAGTAGTAGTAGAAGTAGTAGTAGTAGTAGTAGTAGTAGTAGTAGTAGTAGTAGTAGTAGTAGTAGTAGTAGTAGAAGTAGTAGTAGTAGTAGTAGAAGTAGTAGTAGTAGTAGTAGTAGTAGTAGTAGTAGTAGTAGTAGTAGTAGTAGTAGTAGTAGTAGTAGTAGTAGTAGTAGTAGTAGTAGTAGTAGTAGTAGTAGTAGTAGTAGTAGTAGTAGTAGTAGTAGTAGTAGTAGTAGTAGTAGTAGTAATAGTTGAAGAAGAAGAAAAGAAGAAGAAGAAGAAGAAGAAGAAGAAGAAGAAGAAGAAGAAGAAGAAGAAGAAGAAGAAGAAGAAGAAGACACATAAAGTGAGTTCAATAAATATAATATGACGAAAACAGCGAGCTGCGTGGTTTCGAGCATGGTGCCCGCCTCGAGTGCTAGAGGTTCCGGGTTGAATCCCCGGAAAGGGCTGATATTTTTTCACGTGGACTTGAACTTCTAGTGTTGCCATCTGGTCTCTGGGTAGTGAGATCAGACGGCAATGTGCATTTTTGCGCACGTAGAAAAATCCCTTGGCAGTTGGAAATCGAAAAGAGTAGCCTAACGGCGCTGCCCGGACAAAATTTGGAGTTGAAAATCGAACTAAAATATTTTAGGATCCCCACTGGTGCTAAAGAGCCTGTGCACTGTGCAGAGCTTCCTCGGACTCAGACTTAAGTTAGAAGAAAGAACGGAACACTTATGGGTAGTACCCGTGTGCCATGATGTTGATCCGTTGTTCAATCTTTAAATTTTAATATGATGAAAATAAAAGTTAGACAAATCAACTGACAGCAAAAGAATTGAAAGCGAACATTCAATTATTGTTTAAAAAAAAAAAAAAAACATAAGGCAAACAACAATCAACAAAATTGCTAATTTCTTTAGCACAGTTTTATTTTAGCCATTTGAAGGTCTACAATTGCGTAAAGTCTGGACACAGAAAACAAAAGGGCAAAATGTCTCAGCATCACGTGATAGTTGTTGGCATAGAAACGGGAGAATTTTGCCATGACAACGTTGAAACACAAACAAGGTCGGTACAAAGATGGCGTACACTGCTGCCAAATGTGTAGTAATGGTCGTCGTCTCGTCTGCATCCAGTAAGTGTTTTAAACAGAAGGCGTTGCTGTTGTGTTTAACTTCTGGTGGTATTTTAAACTTTTTATGTCAATACGGTAAAATATTGTTCTCGGGGACCAAAATTGTGTTTTTCTTGAGTGAGTCGTGCTAACGCAATTTTACTGAGATTATTGATTTTAATGTGTATTTACTATGGGGAACAGACTTTATTGTTGCAACTCTGCCTGTACCGTTGTTAAATTAGTTATTTTCTTCAAGAATTTGAAACATTACCTGGACCAGACATTGGTTGACCATCTTTCACAAAATGGCGTCTGCCTGCAAACCACATTCGCACATGCATAGAAAAGGTGTAAAATGAAAATCACCTGGCAGACATTTAATCACCTACACTTGATTGAATTACTCGCCCTTGGGAGCAAGCCTAGTGGCGACAGGTATAAAATTAAACATCTAACATACAACACTCTTTTGCCTGAGATATAAACCCTGCTTTGTGTAGCCTTCTTCCTAATGAGCCTTTCTTTTCTTTTTACTCGCATCGTTTTGTCTCCTTTTTCTTTTTCTTTGATGGTGTTCTTTGGCAGTAGCAATCGCGTGGAACCTTTCCTTTGCAATTTTTTTTTTCTGATCACATAAAAAAAAAAAAAAAAAGTTATGGATTCCTGAAGGTGGCAAAGGATTGTTTGTTATTCCCATATTTTTTAAATTTTTATTTTCATTTAAATATTTTTTTTAAGGAAAACAAATGTAATATCAATTTGGTATCGTTTTGTGATTTTGACGTACTGCAATCAAAGTGGAGATAACTTCTTCTTCATTCATAAGCTTCATTTTGTTTGGCAGCTGTTAGCATAAAACATATTATTAATATTGTACAGGTTTTGTTCGTGGAAACTGGGGCTTGGTAGGGTCCGAAACGCCACCAGATGATAATGTAATGTTCTTTTCTTTGTTCTTGAAGCTGTTGATATCGTTGCTTTGTGGAGAAGATTGACTTAAAAGCATTTGCGGTGGACGATGGATGGGCCAGACTCATCGTACTCCTGCTTGGAGATCCACATCTGTTGGAAGGTGGAGAGGGAAGCCAGGATGGATCCACCGATCCAGACGGAGTATTTACGCTCGGGGGGAGCAATGATCTTGATCTTCATGGTGCTGGGAGCCAGGGAGGTGATCTCCTTCTGCATACGATCAGCGATACCTGGGAACATGGTGGTGCCTCCGGACAAGACGGTGTTGGCGTAGAGATCCTTACGGATGTCGACGTCGCACTTCATGATGGAGTTGTAGGTGGTTTCATGGATACCAGCAGACTCCATACCCAAGAAGGATGGCTGGAAGAGGGATTCAGGGCACCTGAAGCGCTCGTTACCAATGGTGATGACCTGTCCGTCGGGAAGCTCGTAGCTCTTTTCCAAAGAGGAGGAGGATGCAGCCGTGGCCATCTCCTGCTCGAAGTCCAGGGCGACGTAGCAGAGTTTCTCCTTGATGTCACGGACGATCTCTCTTTCGGCCGTGGTGGTGAAGGAGTAGCCTCTCTCGGTGAGGATCTTCATCAGGTAATCTGTGAGATCTCGGCCGGCCAAGTCCAGACGGAGGATGGCGTGGGGCAGAGCGTAACCTTCGTAGATGGGAACGGTGTGGGTGACACCGTCGCCGGAGTCAAGGACGATGCCGGTGGTACGACCGGAAGCGTACAGGGACAGCACGGCCTGGATGGCCACGTACATGGCGGGGGCGTTGAAGGTTTCGAACATGATCTGGGTCATCTTTTCTCTGGGGAAGACAGAAAACGGTCAGTGATGCACTGCAACGCAACGTTCACGTTCAGGTTATGTACTAACATAGACAAATTAAGCAGAAAACGCAGGATGTTATGCATGGATCACACTGCAAGACATACAGTAATATGACACACACACACTCCCACTTCTCTGTACTGCTCTACTCTCTCTCTCTCTCTCTCTCTCTCTCTCTCTCTCTCTCTCTCTCTCTCTCGCTCGCTCTCACATGCACGGATACTCCAATTCACGGTGCTGCTCTACTCACACACACATCCGCACACACACAAACCGTCTACACACGCCCACACATACACGCACTAACCTACATACACACAAAATACATTCAAGCGCCATTCTACATACTCACATGTATACACATAAAAACACAAACACATACACGCGCTAACCTACATACTCACACATACACACATTTAAACACACACAAACACATACACGCGGTAACCTACATACTCACACATACATACATACATATAAAACAAACATACAAACACATAAACGCGCTAACCTACATACTCACACATACACACACATAAACAAACACATACATGCGCTAACATACATACTCACACATACACACACATAAACACACGCAACCGCACCTACGCATACAGGCTCGCATACAGGCTAGCCGACTTACTCACATATACACACGTATAAACATACACAAACACACACGACACATACAGGAGCCAACCTACAGACTAACACTAACTCTAGCATATCATTTATATACCCATACTTCCACAGTGCCTGTGTCTTGTCTGTCTGTTTCTCTCTCTCTCTCTCTCTCTCTCTCTCTCTCTCTCTCTCTCTCTCTCTCTCTCTCTCTCTCTCTCTCTCTCTCTCTCTCTCTCTCTCTCTCTCTCTCTCTCTCTCTCTCTCTCTCTCTCTCTATTTCTCTCAGTGTCCCATTCTCTCTTTAAGTGTCCTATTTATTCTTTGTAATCTCTCTCTTCTTATCTTTTTATCCATTTGTTTGTTTTTTAACAGTCTTCCGGTCTCTTTGTTCTCACCTTCTTGCCCTCTCATTGACACTTTTTATTTATGTCTGGCACTTTATGGTTCTCTTAACCTCCCTGTTACTGTTTCTCTCTTTGTGTTTTACATTTTTCATGTTCTCTCTTTTCCCATGCCTAGCGTTATTTACACCATTCTTTTTCTCTCTTTCTCTCTCTCTGTGTCTTCTTTTCCCGTCTCACATTCTTCCTTAATCGTTTCCGCTTTCTCTCTTCTTTTATCCACTATCATGTTCTCCGCTCTCTCTCTCTCTCTCTCTCTCTCTCTCTCTCTCTCTCTCTTGTCTTTTCTGCCTCTGTTATTTTCTCTCTCTATTTCTTTCTTTCTCCCCCGCCCCCCCCCCTTTTTTTTCTCACAGAGACACAACACCCTCAGTATTAACCATCTAGTCCAGCGGTTATAATATATATATATATACACATATTCATTGAAGCTATGAAGCTATGAAGTAGCAACGGAACTAATTTATGGCTGGGGGTCACCACAATATGAGGAACTACATTAAAGGGTCGCGGCATTAGGAAGGTTGAGAGCCACTGCTGTAGTCCCACACACACCCACTTTACACGATGGTCAGACGAGAACAAGTCATTTTTCTGACAACGCAACTACACGTGCATACTATTCAAGATAGTCGGATCAGCCATGTGCACATGTGGAAAGTTACCCCAGACAGCAAAATATATCCTCCAGAACTGCAGGCAAAAACAAAAGGTTAAAACATTTTGGCCAGAAAGAACAACAGTGGAATGTAAACTTTATGGACCACTGAAAGAACTAAAGACGACAGTGAAATTTATACGAGAGACGAAATTCGCTGATATACTTATTTCAGGTGAACGAAAGCAGAAGAAAGAAAAAGAAAAAGGAAAAAATACACACACGCCCTCTCTATTTAACTCCCTGATCCCACCATCTACTCCCCCCCCCCCTCCCCCGTGTACTTGTATGAGGGTGTATGTATGAATGTGTATGTATGTATATGTATGGGTGTGCTTGTGTCTGTGAACATATGGACATGTAAGAGTGTATGCGTACGTGTAGATTCGGAGTGTGTATGATTGCTTTACACGATGTGTGTAAGCAATATTTCACTATGTATATTTTTATATAAACATGACACGCATCATGGATAACACGCATTTCTGGTCTGAAAGATAAGTGCTTGAAAGGGCCTGCGTGTCCAATTTGTAACTCTTTGAGAATAAAGTTTGTTTTGTTCGTTCATTCTCTCTCTCTCTCTCTCTCTCTCTCTCTCTCTCTTTCTCTTTCTCTCTCTTTCTCTCTCTTTCTCTCCCCCTCTCTCTCTTTCTCTCTCTCTCTCTCTCTCCCTCCGTCTCTATCTCCTACGAGCTCTGTATATTAACTACGCGACCCTAGCCTCCATTTAAGTCAACATCCCTCTCCTCTCTTTTTTTTTCCCAACACACACAGACACACCGACCAATCTGCCAGCCACACACAGACACACAGACCAATCTGCCAGCCACACACAGACACACCGACCAATCTGCCAGCCACACACCTGTTGGCCTTGGGGTTGAGTGGGGCCTCAGTGAGCAGGACTGGGTGCTCCTCGGGGGCCACTCTCAACTCGTTGTAGAAGGTGTGATGCCAGATCTTCTCCATGTCATCCCAGTTGGTGACGATGCCGTGCTCGATGGGGTACTTCAGGGTAAGGATACCTCTCTTGGACTGGGCCTCGTCTCCCACGTAGCTGTCTTTCTGACCCATACCCACCATGACACCCTGGAGAGGAGAAGTGGGGTCATTAGAAATCAATCATTAATCTATTAACTAAAAAAAAAAATCATTTAAACTGTAAATAAACATGACACTCTGGAAAGAAGAAGTGAGGTCATTAGAAATCAATCATTAATCTATTAACTAATAAATAATTTAAACTGTAGATGAACATGACACTCTGGAGAAAAAGTATGATATTTAACAATCAAATAATCTATTAAATAATAAATCATTTAAACAATAAACAAAGATGACATCCCAGGGCATAAGGGGATGCAATGTTGATATTAAGAATCCATAAAATAATCTATTAAATGAAAAACCATTCAAACAATAAAATGAACATGACACCCTGAGAGAGAACGTAATGATATTTAGAAATTAATTTTAAATTTGTTTGGAAAATACTCTCAAGTTTGACGTTTAGAAAATAACTGTATTTTATTTAGAAAATCATCTCAAGTATGACGTTTAGAAAATAACTGTATTTTATTTAGAAAATCATCTCAAGTATGACGTTTAGAAAATAACTGTATTTTATTTAGAAAATCATCTCAAGTATGACGTTTAGAAAATAACTGTATTTTATTTAGAAAATCATCTCAAGTATGACGTTTAGAAAATAATATTTCAAGTATATTGTTTAGAAAATAAATGCTTTCTTTAAGGACCATGTTAACAAAAGGGGGAGGGGTGTCATTTTGCCAGTCTACGTTCATTTAGGGCCTTTGCTGAGTGACTTTAAGTGGCCTAATGTATAAGTGAAATTATATGTTTTAACTAAATGGCCTCGTCTGGCGAATATTGCGAAGTGAAGAGATTTTTCGAAATCAGGCTTGAGTCAGAAATAGATCGAAGCATTTATGGGTTACCCCTTGTGCCATGAAGTTGATCCGTTGTTAAATCCTAAATCTAAATTTAGACTTAGGCGAAAAGGTTGTTTTTTAATTTGTTAAGTAAATGGTGTTAACCTGCTATATTTATAGAGATACTTTCCGTGTGGACTCCAGGGCCCCATTGGGGGCGAAGTGGTGGTGGGGGGGGGGTGTGGGAGAATAGACCCACTGCTCCCAACAAGCACGTCGTTAAAAAAAAGCAACAACTTATATTTAATGGCGTTTCATACGAAGTCGGAGTGCATCTGCATGAAAGGTGAGAAAGCAATAGTCCGCATACAAATATGCAATATGTGTAAAACGGATGTGCACGCAGTTAATGAAAAACTAGAAAGTTCCGATGGAATTTACAGTCAGTGAGCGCGAAGAAGAAGAAGAAGAAGAAGAAGAAGAAGAAGAAGAAGAAGAAGAAGAAGAAGAAGAAGAAGAAGAAGAAGAAGAAGAAGAAGAAGAAGAAGAAGAAGAAGAAGAAGAAGAAGAAGAAGAAGAAGAAGAAGAAGAAGAATAAGAGGAAGAAGAAAAAGAAGAAAAGTTTTTAATCTATGATATTCCTAAAGACAGCCATGGGTATCCTGAAGCCAACCTTCAGTCTGGAGACGGCTCACCATTTTGTCAACAGCTATCTATTCTGAACCTTTTTCCAAATGTCTCAAGGCCTCACACTTTCTCTGTATGAGTGCAATAGAAGCAGTTGTACACAAGAGTGTACTTGTCTTGTTTAGTGCAGTGTAACATTCATTTCCTTCACCTCGACATAAAGCAATAAAAAAAAAAAAAAAACTGTAGAACCCCGCTCCCACAACTTTCAATGTAAAGTTACCTCCTAACCAAAAAACTGCCCGCCCTCACAGAATGAAATCACCTGGGTTTCCCTCCCGTCGCCCACGCCAGCCGGAGCTTAACCTCCTTGCCCATATAAGTCCAGGTCAAGATGGCGTCGGCTGTGCCAGCGAAGAGTGACGTCACGCTCGGGCGCAGACAGCCAATAATCTCCTGGCACTTAAGGCGGCCATTTTTTGTTGTTGCGGTTTTCTTTGGATTTCATCCAGACTTCCAACCTTCAGTCCCTGTGTTGTTTTTCTTCTCCTTCATGTTTTTGTGTGTGTAAGTACGCAAGTGTAGAAGCCATTCTTGACATCTGCTCTATCAGCAGCTGAATTCCACGACGTCATCAGAAATTATTGGCTTCAATTATGATGTTATGCAACATAGTGTCTGGAACCCTTCAGCTGTTTGTATTCAAGTCCTGCATTATTTTACCTCTTAGCACCTAGTTTGTATTAGGGATACCTTACATGTAACGTTCATCATCGGCGACCAGGTCACCCACTGACTCGCCAGTAGACGACTTCGTCGCCGTTTTGGACAGTATTTGGGTCTGTCTCCTTTGATCGCATCAATACTGCAAGATTTCTTTTCAGAGCTAATTGGTGGCGAGCAGAGCTAAGCCATTTTTTAGGGCGCACATAACCTGGTCACAGTTACAACCTAAAGCTCCCCCTTCGAGGATGCTGACTGAACGTGACATTTTTTTCTTCTTAAAGCAAGCCAAGACATGCAATGTTTTTAACCACTTTATGTGTGCCTTTTCTAGAGGAGATAATGATTTATTCTCGCCCAGTTGTTGCTTCATCCACCCCTTGTTCCATAATGGTTTTATTTGAACCACTTCAGCCTTTTTAATTTTAGGCAATACAATAGCTAGATAGAAAGAGTCGAAGAAGCGTTTAGCAGACCGCAAGGGTTAACCCCCTATTTAACATTTTTGTTTCTATCATCATCAATCAGGAGGTCTTTTACAGAACGTCGCACTAGTCACAGAACACTTGAAAATCTCTCGTTTTCTAGCAAAATCTCTAGCCCTATGTGCTTTCATAGCTAATGCATTTTCAATTTATTGTATCTACCTCCGAACATGTCTGCATCTACCTCCGAACATGTCTGCATCTACCTCCGAACCTGTCTGCATCTACCTCCGAACATGTCTGCATCTACCTCTGATCATGTCTGCATCTACCTCCGATCATGTCTGCATCTACCTCCGATCATGTCTGCATCTACCTCCTCTTCCAGTCCTGTACCCTCCATCGCCGTTCTCGCCAGGCCACCAGGACGTTTAAAATGGCCACAATACCTCAGTTTTCAGGACAGGATGCTGTTTATGAGCCAATTCACCTCGATGCTCTTATCAAGTAGGATGTCGAGTTTTTTTTTTTAATCATCATATATATTATCCATTATATTCATGTGAAGCATGAAGAAGTAATCAAACTGTTAGAAAAATTAAACATTGATGGGAAAGATCTACGAATAATAAAGAATATGTATTGGCAGCAAATAGCAGCTATAAGAATTAACAACTGTTTAGGTACATTTCAAAGCATAAAGAGGGGCGTACAACAAGGATGTGTACTGTCACCTGATTTGTTTTCAATATACAGTGAATATATTATGAGATCTTTATTTGATATGCCCGGAATCGTGGTTGGTGGGCACAATATAAACAATTTACGTTATGCTGATGACACAGTCTTGATAGCAACAAGTCAGAAAGAATTACAGGAAATGATAGACATTGTGGTGTTAGAAAGTGGAAGAATGGGCCTCAGTTTGAATAATGGGAAGACAGAAGTAATGGTGGTATCAAAGAAACAAATTATTCCTAAATGTGTAATAAAAGTCAGTGGTGTTATTTTAAGACAAGTACAGAAATTTAAGTATCTGGGCACATGGATAACATCAGATGGAAGATGCATAACTGAAATAAGAAACAGAATTGGACAGGCAAAAACTGCATTTTATAAAATTAAAAACATCTTGTGCAATATATCCTTGTCATTGAGAGTTAGAAAAAGAATTCTTGCTTGCTATATACATCCAGTTTTAACATATGGATGTGAATCCTGGACAATCGGTAGGCAGGCCAAACAATTTTTGGAGGCCTCAGAGATGTGGTTTTACAGAAGAATGCTTAGAATACCTTGGACAGCCAAAAAGAGCAACCAAGAGGTTTTAAAAGAGGCGGGAGCCCGAAGACAACTTATCACTGACATCAGAAGGAGACAGTCATCATTTTTCGGCCATGTTATGAGAAGAGGGAAAATAGAACATGTTGTGACCACTGGAAAGATCTGTGGAAGGAGGGATAGAGGAAGACAACGAGAGAAGATGCTTGACGGTCTTGTTGCATGGCATGGAAGTGTGTCGGCACACGAACTGATACATGCTGCAGGAGATCGCGGATTATGGAGAGGCATGATCGCCCACGCCAGTCGGCAAGGCACCTGATGATGATGATATATTATCCATTATTAATTTTCTTATTTTAATTATTAAATGGGAACATGATTCAAGTGTTCACCGGTACACTTATCTTCTGCATTTCTGGTGGCGACCGTTGGCTTTGGCATCTCCTGCAAGTGAAATCTGCATTTACTGAGTGCGCAGATTTCTGGATTGTTCCTGGACTAATTGTTCACCAGTTTTTCAAAAGCGACAGTGAGGGAGATTTCATTTGATTTTCACTGGCACAGGAACGGAGCAAGTATGGGGAAAACCCGATTGCTGTGAAGTTGAAACTCCAACTAAGACTCAAGAACAATCACAACATCTAACGTAAATTGCAAAGCAAAGGACCCTATTAGGTCAACTATGAACAGGGTATATGATGCAAGAAACATACTTTTGTAGACTAATCGGCAATTTAATGATGGTGTGGTCAATAGTCACCGGCCGCATTTACTTCCTAAAATATGTTTGGGTACCCATTTAAGGTTGATTTGACCTGGGAGCCTAAGTCATTGTATAACAATTGGAATCAACGCCGACTCGAACCTAAGACATTTCGGCCAGCTGGCAAGAGTTCTAATGACTTTACTACTATGTTTGAAGAATGCTATAGTTAAAATACTACTACTACTACTACTGGTGCTGCTACTAATACCACCACCACGACCACCACCACTACTGCTGCTGTTGCTGCTGCTGCTACTACTACTACTACAACTAGTATTAGCTATTCCGTAGTGGTAGCCTAGGCAGTGGCAGTAATACCGACAGTAGCAGTAGTAATGTATTTACTGGTAGCAGTTGTAGTATTAGGCAGTAGTGGCAATAGTAGTAATACAAATTATGGTGAAAGTAATAATGACTATAACAATAATAATGCTGATATTGGTAGTAATAGTAGTAATGGTGGTAGTATTGGTTGTGGTTTGGTGGTTATGGTGGTAATAGTAATAGCAGTAGCAGTAGCCCTAGCAGCAGCAGTAATAGTGGTGTGAGTATTATAGCTTTAAACGGATACTCAAAAATTTTTATTGGAAGTAAAGGTAGCAGCTGTAACCAAATTATACTTAAAGTGCTTAATGTTATCGCTGCCGGGACGAAAAAGGACGACGGTTGGGCGTGAGGTCAGCTCCCCCACCATGTTAACAGTTATTTGCTACAGAAACTTGCAGGGAGTCATTATCAATCAGCAAGTCCTTTACAGAACTTCGCTTTCTTCACGGCACACCTGAAAGTATCCCTTTCCCTAGCTAGTTCTCCGGCCCCATGTGCTTTCATGTCAGAAAGTATCAACAGTTATAAGACAGAGAAGTTGGAAGCATTCTGAGGCGAGACGAATAGAGAAGTTAGAAAAAAAAAACAGGTACAGAAATGGGAAATAAAGGGATTGAGGACGTCTAAGAGAAACACTAAGTCGAACGTTGATGAGAGAAGCCAAAGATGCTGGACTGGACTCCATCCATGATATCGAAGAAATAGCACAGGACGGAACAAAATAGAGGATTAAACTGTGAGCCCTATGTGACATACAATGACACAAAGAAACAATGAATTAATGAAACTGTGAGTGCTCTTTGTTCTTTACCAGTGTCGCGGCGCCTTTTTTCAATTAAATTTTTCCACAGCGCCCTTGCCTAAGTAAAAGTATAACTACCTGAGTAAAAGTATGACTATTCGTAAGTAAGAGATAAAAACAAAACACACCCACAAAAATCTAGATAATTTTAGCTTAATTTTTGTTTAGTTAGGTCAAATGTCTTGATAAAATTATTTATACAGCTTTTAGGATATTTCACGGCGCCCCTGTGAAGAGGTGGCGGATCCCCCGGACGCCGCGGCGCACAGTTTGGGAATCACTGTTCTATACAAATATGTGGATGGCATTATATGCACAGTAGACACGGGAAAAAGTCCTTAGCTTTACATTATACGAGTTTTGGTTTACATTAGCTTATTTTACACTATATTACTTTACATTGTAATACAAGATATATGCCAAACATGTCTCAGGAAACGGAAAATATTCCCTTACTTGATGTTACTTTTCACTACATTACATTTTATTACTGTGTAAGATATAAGAACAACAAGCATCAACAAATAAAAAAAGATCACCTTAATTAATGTTTTTTTGCACGACATGACATTACTTGATTTGTATTTTAGATCATTTTAAACCTTTCTTCTTCATAATTTTACATTACCTTAATTTACGTTAATTTACTCATTTTATAATTTACTTGGTTTCTCACGATGAGAAGGAGAAGGAGGAAAAGAAGGGGGAATAGGAGGAGGAGAAGAAGAAGGAAAATAATAAGGATGAGAAGGAGGGGAAGAAGAAGAAGAAGAAGAAGAAGAAGAAGAAGAAGAAGAAGAAGAAGAAGAAGAAGAAGAAGAAGAAGAAGAAGAAGAAGAAGAAGAAGAAGAAGAAGAAGAAGAAGAAGAAGAAGAAGAAGAAGGAAAATGAGAAGGATGAGAAGGAGGGGAAGAAGAAGAAGAAGAAGAAGAAGAAGAAGAAGAAGAAGAAGAAGAAGAAGAAGAAGAAGAAGAAGAAGAAGAAGAAGAAGAAGAAGAAGAAGAAGAAGAAGAAGAAGAAGAAGAAGAAGAAGAAGAAGAAGAAGAAGAAGAAGAAGAAGAAGAAGAAGAAGAAGAAGAAGAAGAAGAAGAAGAAGAAGAAGAAGAAGAAGAAGAAGAAGAAGAAATATAAGAAAAAAATGAAGAAGAAGAAGAAGCAGAAGAAGAATAAGAAAAAGAAGAAGAAGAAGAAGAAGAAGAAGAAGAAGAAGAAGAAGAAGAAGAAGAAGAAGAAGAAGAAGAAGAAGGAAGAAGAAGAAGAAGAAGAAGAAGAAGAAGAAGAAGAAGAAGAAGAAGAAGAAGAAGAAGAAGAAAAGGAATATAATAATAATAATAATAATAATAATAATAATAATAATAATAATAATAATAATAATAATAATAACAGGAAGAAGAAGAAGAAAAGGAATAATAATAATAATAATAATAAAAATAATAATAATAAGAAGAAGAAGAAGAAAAAGAAGAAGAAGAAGAAGAAGAAGAAAAAGAAGAAGAAGAAGAAGAAGAAAAAGAAGAAGAAGAAAAAGAAAAAGAAGGAGGAGAAGGAGCTGGAGAAGGAGCAGGAGAAGAAGAAAATGATGATGAAGAGGTATAAGAAAAGGAAGAATAAGAAGAAATGGGGAGGAAGTGGAAAAGAAGAAGAAGAAGAAGGAAAATATTTACAATCATGAAATATGGTTGCTTAGTATAATGATTCTTCAGGTCTAACTGTTTCCCAAATGGAAAATAAATTCTGGCCATAAGTTTTTGTTTAAAGGTTAAAATATAAACACACAGGAAACTTTTTCACTACACTGTGTGTATATAACTGAGACACAACTAGGTTATATTATGCTAGGCATAACTTTGACCAACCAGGAACTCGATTTGTGATGTTGTTAACACTACACATCCGCCCTCACTTCCCATGTGGCACTTGTTTCAACGCTATAGCACCCCAAGCAGTTGTCATTTAAACCCACGATCTACTAATTCTTAAACCATTTTCTTCCCCTTTGTTATTCTCATTATGACATAAAATGAAAACTTTTTTTTTTAAAGCTAATACAATGAATTATTTAAAACAACTGTAAATCCCAGCTAGAAGGAACTAGAAATCCCACCCTCAAGGTTTTTTGAAATGATAGCAACACATAGGTAGTTTAACTGTTATTAAAGTTGTGTTTATGTTGTAACGTTAGTTGGTGTAGTAACTGTTGACAGTCATATGGTTTTGGCAGTCATACCAAACAGTGTTAAATGTGTGTATCACAGACCTAAAAATAGTGTTAAATGTGTGTGTGTATTTGGTGTTAAATATGTGTATTTGTTACTTAAAATAAGAATAAATGTTAAAATGTGAGTTGTTGCAGGTCAGTAATAGGATACGATTGCTTACTTAGTTGGACCTGACATTGTGTGTGTGTGTGTGTGTGTGTGTGTGTGTGTGTTTAAAGATCAAAGATAAAGAATAGTGCGAAATGTTCGTGTTTAATACTTTAGAAAGGAAACAGTTTGAAAGGTTTGTATTTGGGATATAAGATAACAAACAGTGTAAAGTGGGTGGTTTGGAATCTAAAATAACAAACAATGTCAAATGTGTGGTTTGGAATCTAAGATAACGAACGATGTCAAGTGTGTGGTTTCAAATCTAAGATAACAAACAGTGTCGATTGTGTTGCTTAGAATATAAGATAACGAACGGTGTCAAAAGTGTGATTTCAAATCTAAGATAACAGTGTCACATGTGTAGTTTGAAATATAAAACAACGAACGATGTCAAGTGTGTGGTTTGAAATCTAAGATAACAAACAGTGTCAAATGTGTTGTTTAGAATATTAGATAACGAACGGTGTCAAAAGTGTGGTTTCAAATCTAAGATAACAGTGTCACATGTGTGGTTTGAAATATAAGATAATGAACGGTGTCAAATGAGTGGTTTCAAATCTAAGATAACAGTGTCACATGTGTGGTTTAAAATAAAAGATATGGACTAAACGTTGGACATGGATTATACGCTGTACATGGATTAAATGATGGACATGGATTAAATTGTGGATATGGATTAAACGTTTGAAAGGGATTAAACGTTGGGCATCGGCTGAATGTTGGGTATTGATTTGATGTAGGACATGGCTGCAATGCTAAACACGACTTAAATGTCAACATGGATCGAACACGGATTAAATGTTGGACAGGGATTAAATGTTGGATATGGATTATATGGTGGATATGAATTATATGTTGGACACAAATTAAATTTCGAACATGGATAAACTATCGGATATGGATTAAATATTAAGCATCAATTTTAAGTTGAAGAATGATTGAATGTTGGACATAGATCCAACGCTGAACACGACTTTAAAAGTAAACATGGATTGGACATGGATCAAATGTTGTACTGGATTATATAAACGACAGGGATTAAATGTTGAAAATGGATTAAATGTTGGACAGGGATTAAATGTTGAACATGGATTAAATGTTGAACATGGATTAAATGTTGAAAATGGATTAAATGTTGAAGATGGATTAAATGTTGGACATGGATTAAATGTTGAAATACATATAATGTTGGACATGGATGTAAAATCTGAAAGGAAAAGCGACGGAGCTTACCTGGTGACGGGGTCTTCCAACGATGGAGGGAAAGACGGCCCTTGGGGCATCGTCTCCGGCGAACCCGGCTTTGCACATACCGGAGCCATTGTCCACTACTAAGGCAGCTACTTCCTCGTCACACATTGTGGTAAGTTTGTTCTGGTGTGGGGCACGACAAAGATTGTAGCGTACGTGAACCTTCGGCTGCTTCTCGAAGAGTCTGGTGAAAGAACCGGGGTCTTCCGCGCGTTTTATATCTGGGGCTACAGGAGCCGGCGTTTTCCCGGAATTTTCGGGGATGATGCACGCGCGGTATCCATATTTGGTAGGCGAGTAAGGGAGTTTACTATCACGGAACGAGTGGAGATTGAGGACGGGGGGAGTTGGTCGTGGGGGAGGGAAGGGGGGAAATGGAAGAGGAGAAGGGGGGGGGGGAGTTGGTGTGCGTTTGATGCTAAGGCAAAGAGTTGGTGGGAGAATCAAGTGGAGGGTAAATGGGTGTCGGGATTCCGCAGATTGCAGGCTTAAGTCGCTCAAGGCGTTCGTTTTCTTGAGAGATTTGTGGGTGAGTCAAGTTAGGGCAAGGCGTTGAGAGAACAGAAAATATCTCACGTGCAGTAAACGATGTTTTTTCCCCGGGTTTCTTCTCTCCAGTTTTTTAACTCCTCCTGTTTTACAAACTCAAAATCGTAATTCACTGCGCTGTAGACGCTAGGGCGGGGGTCGGGAAGAAGGGGGGGGGGGGGTGTTACATTAACTGCACTCCAAAAAGCATGTCGTAATAGGTGACTTTCAGGGATTTTCTGAAATCGGATGTGTTGTGCCGAAAAGTGAAGATGTCTACGTCCAGCTGTAAACTACAAGAAAATATGCTAGTCGCCCCTAAAGGGCAAATACAGACGAAGAAGAAGAAGAAGAAGAAGAAGAAGAAGAAGAAGAAGAAGAAGAAGAAGAAGAAGAAGAAGAAGAAGAAGAAGAAGAAGAAGAAGAAGGAAGAAGAAGAAAGAAGAAGAAGAAGAAGAAGAAGAGAAGAAGAAGAAGAAGAAGAAGAAGAAGAAGAAGAAGAAGAAGAAGAAGAAGAAGAAGAAGAAGAAGAAGAAGAAGAAGAAAAAGAACAACAACAACAAAAACTACAAAAAAATATCATCCTTATCAACAACAACAAATAAATAGGAAACATGTACTTAATGGTACGACATATAAGTATCAGACTTAAGCCTCTGACAAAGCCAGCCGGTCCGAGGTTATGTGCACGGTAGTTCCAGAATTTTCCTGCACAAGAGAGTTTACCGGCCCATCAAGCTTTCACAACCTCAGACACGCTCCAGTTCAACTTGAGTTCATGCCGGCCTTATCTCTGAAGTGGTTGCTACTGCTGCAAACTCCTGTTGACCCACATCTGAACTCCGGGTCTGAATAAATGGTTAATTAACTCTAAGCCGGTGTAGCCGCTAGGCACTCGAAGAGACAGGGTTACGAATACAAACCAGCATTAAAGAGAAAGTTGAAATAAGACTATGTGTGGATGATACTGACAGACAAAGAATGAAATAGTTCGGCCATCTAGTGAGAATGCAGCCAGGCCAAACTGCATATGAGACACTTTAAGCAGAACATCTGGAAAGAAGGTGAGAGGAAGACCAAGAAAGAATGGATAAATAGTGTAACCGAAACCTGCAAAAAGATAACAAACCGATCACCTAAGCCACCCGAAAAGAGCAAGACAAACACAGAAAACCACGACACTAGGCTACAACCTGGTATCAGTGAGGCGACAAAACCACGACACTAGGCTACAACCTGGTATCAGTGAGACGACAAAACCACGACACTAGGCTACAACCTGGTATCAGTGAGGCGACAAAACCACGACCTTAGACTAGAACCTGGTATCAGTGAGGCGACAAAACCACGACACTAGGCTACAACCTGGTATCAGTGAGGCGACAAAACCACGACCTTAGACTAGAACCTGGTATCAGTGAGGCGACAAAACCACGACACTAGGCTACAACCTGGTATCAGTGAGGCGACAAAACCACGACACTAGGCTACAACCTGGTATCAGTGAGACGACAAAACCACGACCCTAGGCTACAACCTGGTATCAGTGAGGCGACAAAACCACGACCTTAGACTAGAACCTGGTATCAGTGAGGCGACAAAACCACGACACTAGGCTACAACCTGGTATCAGTGAGGCGACAAAACCACGACACTAGGCTACAACCTGGTATCAGTGAGACGACAAAACCACGACCCTAGGCTACAACCTGGTATCAGTGAGGCGACAAAACCACGACCTTAGACTAGAACCTGGTATCAGTGAGGCGACAAAACCACGACACTAGGCTACAACCTGGTATCAGTGAGGCGACAAAACCAAGACTCTAGGCTACAACCTGGTATCAGTGAGGCGACAAAACCACGACACTAGGCTACAACCTGGTATCAGTGAGGCGACAAAACCACGACACTAGGCTACAACCTGGTATCAGTGAGGCGACAAAACCACGATAGTAGGCTACAACCTGTTATCAGTGAGACAACAAAACCACGACTCTAGGCTACAACCTAGTATCAGTGAGACGACAAAACCACGACACTAGGCTCCAACCTGGTATCAGTGAGGCCACAAAACCACGACACTAGGCTACAACCTGGTATCAGTGAGACAACAAAACCACGACTCTAGGCTACAACCTTGTATAAGTGAGACGACAAAACCCCGACCCTAGGCTACAACCTGGTATCAGTGAGGCGACAAAACCACGACCTTAGACTAGAACCTGGTATCAGTGAGGCGACAAAACCACGACACTAGGCTACAACCTAGTATCAGTGAGGCGACAAAACCACGACACTAGGCTACAACCTGGTATCAGTGAGGCGACAAAACCACGACACTAGGCTACAACCTGGTATCAGTGAGACGACAAAACCACGACCCTAGGCTACAACCTGGTATCAGTGAGGCGACAAAACCACGACACTAGGCTACAACCTGGTATCAGTGAGGCCACGAAGAAAGAAGAAGAAGAAAATGAACTTTGATAAGACAGTTCAACCGTAGGGCAAAATAAGAGGACAACAAAGCAAATAGTTGTTTACTTATTCGACAAATATTTTTTAAGTGTGCGATTTCTGAGTCATGGTTGAAGAATGTTGCCGTCACCATTTCATCTTGGCGTCGTGTATCTCGTTGTTGTTGTTGTTGTTGTTGTTGTTGTTGTTGTTGTTGTTGCTCTTAGCGCTTACCGGCAGTAACCTCTTGATTGTTCGCCCACTTCTGTTACAGAATTTGAGTTCTGCGTGTAACACACCTTTTACAGATCTGGTTTTTTTTTTTGTATGCAGACTGTTGGTTTCTTGCACTTCACGCAGATGCACTGAGACTTTGAAGGAAACACACTTTATTAACCAGTGTTTACGACACGCTTTTTAGGGGGCCAGTTGGTATTCAAGCAATAATTTAAAGGCAAGAGATCTGAGAACGTTGATGTGATTTAAAAATCCCACACCGCAACTGGTGTCGTTTCTGGAAGCAACTGGAACCACTGCCTGCATGAGGTCCATGTGAGCTTTTTTTAATTTTTTTGGAAGGGTACCGATGCATAATAGTGACATGTGAAATTTATACTTTTTTATAATCAATTACCCTCTTTTAACCACAGTGAAAATATTCGTGCCAGGGCACACAGGCGTGCTAGGAAATGAACAAGCTGATGGACTTGCAGGTAAAGCTACAGTAGAGGGCGGACAAACCATGGACCAGGCTGATTTTCTGAATACTCTACAAGAAGTAAGACGTTTGTGAGAACCAAGTGATGACGGTGAATCTGCAGCAATGACCAAATTGCAAGAACAACATGTTAAAAGGGGTGTGTGGCCAGACCAGAGCATCAATGTAAGAAGCCAATGATGAATAAGAAACCAACACAGAAGTGGTGTCGTCAGCCGCTACATGCAGCGAGATATGCTAAGCAGGGGATCCGAGCACCTATGGATTGCATGGTTTGATTGACTTGCAATGAGGATAATCTGTCGACTAACTAACAAAAGCTTAGAATTGGACATGAAAAAAAAAAAAAAAAATCTAACGGCTTCGCAAGGAGAAGAGGCAGATCAAGAAAGACATGGATACAGAACTTGACTGAATAGACAGGACCTAGGCATGCAACCATAAAGTCCATCGCATGTGACCGTCAAAAGTGGAGGAAGCTGATCAGTCAACAGCAACTAGTGACCCAACGACACGCAATGTTACAGGACGATGATGGTGGTGTATTGGTTAGCTAGTTTTTGTCCATACAACCCTTGCATATTCGATAGTGAACAGACAGAACTGATATAACGACTACCTTAAGACCGAGATGAAGACCACCCCAGTCACAGGCCATTGTAGACCTGTTTATAACTGGCTGGATTTTACCGCTATAGTTTTCTGTAGAGGTATTCATCTATCTAGCTTACCACCCACACACCCCATTCATAATAGACCAATTCAATCATTCACTCAGAACTCAAAACTGTACTCGGCACACCAGCCAGCTCATGCGGCAGTGTGTCAGTCTGTATTCTATACACTGGTCTTTCTATCAGCTGCTGCTTCTTCTTCTTCTTCTTCTTCTTCTTCTTCTTCTTCTTCTTCTTCTTCTTCTTCTTCTTCTTCTTCTTCTTCTTCTTCTTCTTCTTCTTCTTCTTCTTCTTCTTCTTCTTCTTCTTCTTCTTCTTCTTCTTCTTCTTCTTCTTCTTCTTCTTCTTTATTTTCTTCTTCATCTTCTTTTTCTGCTTCACTTTATTTATTTACATCACCTAAGTGTTGCATGTGTGTGTGTGTGTGTTGGGGGGTGGGTTGGTGGTTACGGATTTTCCGTATTGGATTTTTCTACTTGTTATAAACGTGTCCTAATGTCTTTAAATATGTTTTGACCAAGAGAGATAATGCTGGATGGGCTAAAACGATGGCATTAGAGGGATATCATCAAAAGAGCTCTTCCAGGCAACCAGGGATCGTGATCTGTGGAGACGCATGAGCGTTCAACGCAGTTGACGGGGCACATGATGACGACGTTTATGATGCCATCGGTCTATAGACTGAGTGATCTACCCCGTGTCCTGTGCCCACTGTAGTTCTCTAGAGT